GAGAAAAAAGTCAGAATTCTGAGAAAAAAGTCAGAATTCTGAGATTAAAGTCAGAATTCTGAGAAAAAAGTCAGAATTCTTACTTTTTTCCCATACTAAACTGAAATAAAATTTAAAAATCAGTTACTTTTTTTTTTCAGTGTCCCTAATCCTCTTCCATAGTAACCAGTTGGTTTAAGAAGTCCATCAAATATTGAATAGAGTCAAACTCTGTGTGTCATTTAATATCTTTGTAAATCCAGCTATTTCCTTAAAGCTCTCAGGTGAACGTTGGAGAACAAAACACACTGTGTAGACAGTGGAAGTAGCAAACAGGTCGGGGTTACAGCTGAGGAAACTAGTGATGCACTGATTCACAGTTTTACACTTTCCATCCGATTCTGATACTTTGGATATCTGCAGATCCCAATATTTTTCTGATACTGGAGTGCTCTTTACTTTAAAATGATCATCTTTACTGTATTTTTTTTTTCATGAGGCTGTCATAAACTCCTCTCTACAGAAAACTATCATATGTATGATTGGACACATGAATGTTCCAAAGGAAAGGCAAGTGTCTTTATTTATATAGCACATTTCAGTAAAAAGGCAATTCAAAGGGCAGGAGATATACAAAAATAATAGGAAAACACAAAGACGAGTACATTATAGTGGCATGAATGTAATTAAATAATTAAAACATTTTCATACTCAAATAATTAAAAGCAGACCATTATTTAAATTGAACAATACAATAATTACCAATAAATGAAATAAAAGTTGGAGTAATAATGGAAACTATTCCTGTTTAGAAAGTTTAGTTCTAATCTAGTTTAGAGCCCTATTAGAAAAAAAAAGGTTTTAATCTTGATTTTAAGATACTTTTCAGCATTTTTACTGTTTTCTAGGAGTTTTTTTCCTGACTAATGCAGCATAAAAACTAAAAAGCTGCTTCTCCATGTCTTGTAATGGGAAGCCTGATATTAGTATAAGGTCAGAAAAGGAAGTAATAAAACAGTAAATCTTGTTATCAGGACTAATTTCATCCTCAAAACAAATATCCGCTATAAGGTTTCAACTTCAGTGTATTTATAAAATCAAATATGTACTGGTGAAGGTTCTCAGTCATCCAGGTCATAGTCATTCCAAAAAAAGAAAATTAAAAACAATCCGCTGGACTTTGTTTCCAAGTTTGAAGACGTTTCACTTCCCATCCAAGAAGTTTTTCAATTCAAATGTCAGGAATAGCATTGAGTTTGATGGGTGGACCCCTTCGTCTGTTCCAATTGGCATGTTTTCAAAACAAAAACAAGACTTTGTTGGGCGACTGTATAAAACCTTGAACTCTGCGCTATTCCTGACATTTTGAATTAATAAAGCTTCTTGTATGGGAAGGGAAATGTCTTTAAACTTGGAAACAAAGTCCAGTGGGGTTTTTTTTTTTTTTTTGGGAAATCAAATATGCCCTTAGAGGGGTAATTATTTTTTTTTCTTGCTAAGGATTTTCTTAATTTAATTTGAATTTATTATAGAAATAGGCTGAATATATGTATCCCTATGGATCAGGCCTATTTTCACCAATACATGATCTAGAATTTTCTTCAATATCTGGACCGATACCAATAGGTGGTGGCAGCATCATGCTGTGGGGAGGCTTCAAATTAAGAGGAACAGACTAAGAATAAAAACATGTAAAGAAGAATGGGCAAAATGTTCAGCCGTTCGGTGCGAAAAACTGGAAGAAATGTACTATACTGGACTTTATGCACTTTTCAGATTTCATTTTTGTTCCAAACTTTTGGAACCAAGCATCATTTGTGTTGGTCTACAATAATAAATTCCAATTAATGATATTAAAGCTGTAAAGTGGAGGAAATGGTAGAGTTTAGGTGGTGTGAATACTTTTATAAAGCACTAGATGATTTCTTTGTCTTAATCCTGCGGATAAAAAAAAAATCCAATTCAATCTTCAAGCTCTTATCCTGCTGTTTCATTTCCAATCTCTCACATTGATTCCTTTTCGTGGTCTCATCTTCTCTTCCCCCTGACTGACTTTGAGCTCACATCGGTGCATCGTACTTAAGCATCTTTTCATTCTCTCAAACAGTGGCGCCAGGCGAAAGGTATGTTGTGCCTATAGTTTCGCTCAGTAAGACATAGCCAGGGGCATATGCTCTATCTTACTGCCGCTTCGTGCTTTCGCTACGCTTTGTTGATGCTTGATGAGACGGTTCAGTGGAAGCGGAGACGTGTGATTCATCTCGCTCATCTCACCCTGAATCACAGCAGATTCATGCTTGTTTTTCTTTGAGGTAAATAGACCTAAATGTCTTAAATGTTACTATTCCTTTGGTTAAAGATCTTTTAATGGCTGCCCTTTTTATCCCCTTCTTTCTTAATTTCTTTATAATAAACCTTAGCTGTTCAGAGGATGTTAATGTAACCACAGTAAATACAGGTAGTAAACAGGAGGCAGAGCCTTGCTTTGACTGTAATGACGCTCTATAAATTCCCCCTCATAATAAGCACTCTGGCTGTGCGACATCTGTCAACAAGAGGAAAATTCAGGTCAGCGGTGTTTGGCAGCAACATATTACTCCTTTCTAACTTGCCTTTATCATTGTTATTAAAAATATAGCTTTATATGAAGAGATTAATTGCATATATATATATATATATATATATATATATATATAAATACTGTCTTTTTTTAGTGACTTGCCACTTTAGGGTGAAGAAAAAACTAAATGAAAAGACGCTTTATCATCACCACAAGGGAAATTGTTTCCCCCTCCTTTTGCAGCAGAATAGCAAATAATTTACCACAGCTCTAAAACAAATCCCAGATTGCACCAAAACACCAACATGCTTTCTATTCAAAATGGTCGTTTTTTTTTTGGCACTCTGTCTTTAGAAATGAACTGGATAGGCTATAGTAAAACAAGTAGCAGTTTGCTTGGTGGCATCTCTGACCCAAATGGCTACGCTCTGACTTCTCTGGAGGCAGGCTAATGCACGCAAATCCCACGTTGCAATTAATCAGATTGGCCTCCCACCCCAACCCTGACCCCAATCTCTGAAAATACAGGATTTTCACTGAGTGATTTTCTCATGAAATAAATTCTTGTGTCATTGTTTATCTTATCTGTCTGATTTCAGTTCTTGTTGGAAAGCTTGATGAAAATAAAGCTGCTACGGATCTACATTTGTTTGTCCTCTATAATCTTAATCTACACATGTATTTATTTTCCAGGTTGATCCTGCACTTACTGCTGAAGTGGAAGCTGTCGTTAAACGGTAAGGGCTCTGGGAGAAACATAATTACACTCTGCTCTGAAGCGGTTAGAAAAAAAACGACTAGTTTCTTTGGTGTTTCTTAAAGCTGCGAACCTTTGGGTTTATTTAAGTAATAAAAGTATTTAGACATGTAATTTAACTTTATTGATCTCACATTGGAGAAATTTACCTCTGCATTGAACCCATCCTCTTGTGGAGCAGTGGGCTGCCATTGTGCGGCGCCCGGGAAGCAGTGTGGGGTTAAGGGTCTTCCTAGGGGACCCAGAGTGGCAGCCTGTGGGCGTGGGGGTCGACCTCAGAACCTCAGGATTCCAAGCCAAAGTGGTCCCAGAAAGGGCCATGTGGCTAACCTGACTCCGCCAGACGGATTTGCTCCGCATATCCATCTGGAAACCTTCCGTAGAAGTAATTTTGGAAAGGGACGAAAATACTGGTTAGCTGATT